GTATTCTTCTTTTATTAATAAAATTTTCTAATTATCTATCAAAAAAAAAATGTTCACATTTATTAATACACATGAAATTAATTACAATCTCTGTGAAGCTACTAATTTCAATTCTTCGTTTTACTACAAATAATACTAAAAGCGAGAAAACAAGAAAAGGAAACAAAGAAGAAAATGCAGAAACTTACACTTCTATAAGAAGGCATTCAGCCACTTCAAGTAAGATTTTCAGATATTTACCTTACAAAGCGAACTGCTGTTCCAATAACTGTGGCTGTCAACCTAATAATCATCCCGGAAGAGATTAAGAATGGTATAGATAAGCCAATCAGCAAGGTCAGAGTCTTCAGCGGCTTCGGCAGCCTTGCTGGTGATAATGTTGCTTCAAGCAAACCATCTAGACATTCCAGAATATACATCAGATGAAAGCAAATTGTTGATAAATGTTTTCCAGTTATTAGAAATTAAAGGCTATGCAAAAGAGGAGTCTATAATACCTATGGGGCGCCATAAATATGATCAAAGCTTACCCCATCAAATTTACATTCAGATATCCATTTTCAGAAACGTGGTTTTAGTCTATTTAGGAATCACAGGGTCTCACTAGCCTTGTTTGAGTCACGTCCATGCCTAAGATATCAGGCTAGGATGCTATAAAATGAAAACTTACATGCAAAGGCAGGTGATATTAACCAAGCAAGAGCTATATAAGAAGATCCAATCTTGTAGTAATTTCCCACCGTCAGGAGAATAAGCCACTGTAATAAACCAGCTTTATAGAGCCATCGTTCAGCATCCAACTTGGCCACGTCAGCTTTAACACTTGTAGGCAAGTTCCTCTTTCTTCCAACAAATGTACGAGACAAGTACGATTGAAGAATAAGGTAACCCACATGATGCCCAATAAATGCCCCGAGAAGAGAAGGTGCACCGAACAAACCAACTACCAGCCATGGGCTTGCAACAAATGGCACTGGTGAAGAAGATACAAGGGGAAGAATGAAGGCAACAATGATGGAGAAACCAATGGAACATATCCACATAAGTATGACACTCAAACATGACAAGGCCAGTGATATTGCTGCAATATAACCACCCATCAATAGTGACGTTGTCCATATTAAAAGAGATTGCAATATCACTGAATTATAAAGCATATTGGCAAGGCGTTGACGAAATGTGATCATGTATGTTCCCTGAGATTAGGCATTAAAAATGTGTTAGAAAATAAACAGCATACGAGATCTTTTTCAAAGAAATGTCAAGGGATAGTACAGATGCCACACTGATATGGAAAAAAAATGAACTTCAATTTAAAATATTACAGGGATTATCAAGCTACCAAAATGTCAAAGTATATAGATTTCTCCTGGGTAGATTCTCCCTTGCCTTTAGGAAGATTGGAGGAGGCAGCAGCATGAAGCAGGAAAGCAAGCATATTTTCTCCAAGATGTTGAAGAGAACCAGGTTTCAAAAGTTTTAACCGGTCATTCTGCATTTATAAAGTTCAGACAGTAAGCTCACAATGTAAACAAATTAATATCAGACTTATTTTGCAGCAAATAGCGCCATGTTATAAGAACATTAATATGAGTCAAATCAAGTAGTAGTCCAGCTTCCAGATAAGATTTCCTATAAATGATTATTATCTTAAAAAAAAATATTGGAAAGGAAGTTTTTAGTCACGCTTTATTGCTTCTCTCATTTTAAGTAGGGTTGAATTACATTCCAAGGTGTAAAGCCATACACGACCTGAAAACTTTACATATTATGACACATAATGCAATTAATTTAGTATTCCTGAACTTCAACCTATAAGCCCACACAAAACATGCTATTAGGTTGAAAGAGAGAACCTAAGTTTCAGCATTTCACCACCAAGTGCAGCAGAGTTTATTCAGGATACATATCTCAAAGTGAAATGGGGCTGACAACATCCAATAATTGATAAAAATGGAAAGAGGCCAGATTTCCAACTGGACTTGTTAGTTACATTACCTTTGTGTGGTATACTGCAGTATTATCCATATATGCAAAGTCTAGACCAGAAAGTCCTGCAAGCTCTTCGTACACTTGAAAATCAGTGGCAGATTTTATTGCACCAGAAGAAAAGATATCCTGCAGCACCAAGTCACATAGAATGTAAGTCTGGTCATGAACTAATAATTCGGACCATAAAGGTAGGTGGAGATAGAATTAATGTGTTTTCTTCTAACAGACCTCAGCTATAATTTGGGCTGTTGGATACTTAGCTACTAAAGCATAGTTTTCAATGGCCCATGGATGAGGACCCGCCTGTTTGACAAACAACATTAAGTAGGTCAGGAGGAAAAATAAAAATCTTAGAATGTCAGGGGAGGGGGGAGAGCGATATAGTTATTTCATCAAAAACAATTTAAAACTTGTTCACATTTGGTATATTGAAACTAAAAGCATTTTTATGAATTCAGACTTATGTATTCATATACTATATAAACTTTCCTAATATAAGAGACGGGTACAAACGGGAACATAAAATAAGATAAGGGTAAATTGTACTCGTTAACAAAATCAAACCTGGAAAATACTGGACTTCCCTCCAATACCCATGGCCTCCAAATCAATAGCCATTTGTATTGTATCACTCCAGGGATGCTGTGAGAAACACAGAGAACCACGACCACACTTAGAAATACTTCTAGTGATTCTCAGATTGGAATTCAACATTGTAGCTTCACATTGCAAGCATATCAGCCAAAAATTTTGGGAAACAACTAAAAAAACGTCATGGATTTGGCTCTATCTAAAAAGCGCAAGGAATTATTTTTTGATACTAGAAAAGCAAAAAGACGGCCATAACGCTGTTAAGAAAAATTGGAAATTGGATAAAAACATCCTTATATCCACCTAATTACATCAGAGAGGCTATCTTTTGAGTTCTATCACTTCTGATCAGAGCTCCTGAACGAAGAAAATATTTCTTATAGTCACCATAAGGGCCTCTTGCTCCCATACACAGGAGTTGTGATAGAAGTGGAATGGCTTGAGATGGTTACAAACATTTTGGATTCGTTGCACCTTTTCATAGAGGCCGGCCCAAAGTTAATTGAAATGTGCTTAATATGTTGTTGTTCTTTTGTTGGGTATGCATACAGACACATTACCTATGTAAATTTGTTGGAAAGAACTCCGCTGCATAAATATCATAGAGTTTTTCCGGCTGAGAAGCTGAGATACTTGGAACAATGTATCATTGGGTGGCAATGCAGAATTGGAAGAGGAGACAATATTACCATCATGTTAACACGATGTATTACCAGTTCATATAGCAAACTCCTCATTCACCATATAAAGTTCATAAATAATAAAATTGAGTGATCAAAAATATTTTAGCATACTAGTATTTATATGGAGATCTTTATCTTGATAAAAATAATTCAATATTCATATACATAAAAATAAACTCTCTGTAGGTCAATGAATCTTGATTGCCACAAACCTGGGTAATAAAACTATGAGCACCATTCAAACCTTCCTCCTCTCCAGTATTAAACAAAAATATAACAGCATTCTTAAATCCATGAGCCCACTGAGAAATTCCTCGAGCAAGCTCCAACATAACAGCCACACATGAACTGCAATCACCAGCTCCTTCCCTAAAAAAGAGCCCAAACATAAGTTGGTACTGATAATTCTGCAAGTGAACTTAACTCTGTTATGTAAATTTTAGCACACTTTTATGTTGACATAGAGCAAATAAATCAAAATATTGGAGAAAATGTTTAAGTAAATAAATAAAGGACAAAATGAGAGCTTTGGACATAATTCATGATGAAAGACAAAAGAACATAATTAGTGCTATGAATAATAAACATAAAAAGATTACACGTTAGCAATGCCACAGTGAGCAAGTCAAGGAATAAGCTAATATCTGCACATGTAAGTTTTTTCACTCGTTTACATCAACGTGCCAGTTGAATCCTATCGAGCTCTTGCAGGGGAAAAGGTAGTGATCAGAATCCTGTTTTGGTGCTCAACAATACAGGTTAGATTTTCACTTAGATTGCATAACCGAAAATTGAAATTCATAATCTTACAATACATGACATTTTGCCATATGTGCCTGCTAAAATTTAGAATGAGAAGAGTACCATTTCAAGTATTCTGAGCCGCACATTGTACATTTTTCCTCGAATAATCAGGTTTTGAAAAAAGAAATTGAATAGCTTTCCAAGTTTGAGTTGGAGAAAAATTTACGTTCTTTCTAATCACTACTTTGTTATGCAATGTGTCCTGATTTATACATCAAGTCTACAGGTAAAAAAGAAAAAATTGAAAAAATTCTACTTTATAACTAACTTAGCTTAATTTTAGGGCAGAAATGAAGAAGTAAACTAGGTATAAAATTAGCATAGGAAACGTCTTCCTAATTATGGAGATCTTCCTGAAGACAAGACTCTTCAACGCATCCTTGATCTAGAGTTTCATTTGCATAAATTCGAAGTTTAAGATGCATAACAATGTTCAACCACCTTCCAAAATGCTATAAACATACTAAAGTGCCCAAAATATTAAGGAACAATATTTATGAGATAATTCTATCTCTCTTTTGCAGAGTGAAATAACAGAACTCTAATATATGTTGAGCAGCAAAACCATGTTTTTAGATAGATTGAAGTGAGAGAGTAGCAAAAGCATGCTATTGAGGTGTCTAAGTTCCTCAGGGATACATTGTACAAATGTTTAAAATTACACCAAAAACTGTAAGTGGATCATATAAAAAGTTTTATCAGTATTAAATATGCTCATAAGAAATACACATAAAATAAAGAAGAAGAAACTTTATATCCTAGATATTTTCATTTGAACAGAAAGAAAACTGTCCAACATATACATTAGATAATAAATTCATCCCAAGTCACTCAAGTTTTAAAATGGAATGACTGTTAAAAAAGAAGGAAGATTCTAAAAGATCATGAGAAATCAAGAAACAAATCAAATAGCACAAAATTATCTCCATTGTAATATATATAAAAACACATAGGAACCGTACGCTGAAAAAACTGAATCAATGTGAGAGGAGACCAGAATTGCATTTTCTCCTGCTTCAGATGCATATTTCGGCAAGATTCTTAATACAACGTGATTCAGGTCTGAATAAACATGGGTTTTCCCATTAAAAAGGCCACCAACCAGATTATTTGCACCAGATTTTGCACCGAAAAAATCCACTTCCACATCAACCTCCCAATGGGCTGTTTTCTTAATAGATTCTGATGCTTCCAAGACATACTGCAGAAAAGTAGGTTAGACAATATTATTATATTAATTTCTCAAGAATGCCATCAAAGTTCACCATCAAGAGAATATCTTTTCCAAAATAAAAACTGGGAAGTGTAGAGTAGGAGAACTAGACAAATTAATACTTTCTTTACAAGTACATGTGTATACTAATGTTTTTGTGTAGGATGTAATAATTATTTATGCCATGTCATAATGTCCAGGAAAAATTAATCCAGAAACTAAAAAGAAATGCAAAACACAATCTAAATGAAGGCATGTACGGAAAAAGTTCACATCCAA